GATTTACCTGGTCCTGATTCAGCTTTGGTAAGTCAAATCGATCAAGAAAATTGTCCATTTCATTTAGATTTTCAAATTTTGTGGCATATAGACTTTTGAAGTAAGTCCTAATGATTGTTTGGATTGCCTCAGTGTCTGTAGTTATGTCCCCCTTTTCATTTCTGAATTTGTTGATTTGGGTGGTGTCTCTCTGCCTTTTAGTTAGCTTGGCTAAGGGATTGTCGATCTTGTTGATTTTCTCAAAGAACCAGCTCTTGGTTTCATTGATTCTTTGAATTGTTTTATTTGTTTCTAATTGATTGATTTCAGCCCTGAATTTGATTATTTCCAGCCATCTACTCCTTTTTGGTGTGTCTGCTTCTTCTTTTTCTAGGGTTTTTAAGTGAGCCATTAAGTTGCTTGAATGAGCTGTCTTGAATTTCTTCTTGAAGACACTTAGTGCTATGAACTTTCTTCCTAGCACTGCTTTCATTGTGTCCCACAAGTTTGGGTATGTTGTGTCTTCATTTTCATTGAGTTCTAAGAAGACTTTAATTTCTTTCTTTATTTCTTCCCTGACCCAGCTATCATTCAGTAACAAGTTGTTCAGTTTCCATGTGTATGTAGGCCTTTTGCTATTTCTGTTGTCGTTGAGGTCCAGCTTTATTCCATGGTGATCAGACAAGATACAAGGGATTATTTCAATCTTCTTGTACCTGTTGAGGCTTGCTTTGTGACCAACTATATGGTCTATTTTGGAGAAGGTTCCATGAGGTGCTGAGAAGAAGGTAAATTCTTTTGTGTTTGGGTGTAAAGTTCTGTAAATGTCTGTTAGGTCCATTTGATTCATGACCTCTTCTAGAGACATTGTTTCTTTGTTTAATTTCTGTTTTGTTGACCTGTCCTTTGTTGAGAGTGGGGTGTTGAAGTCTCCCACTATTAATGTGTGGGGATCTATATGTGTTTTAAATTTTATCAATGTTTCTTTAACAAATGTGGGTGCTCTTGTATTTGGGGCATAGATGTTCAGAATTGTGATGTCTTCCTGGTGGAATTTTCCCTTGATGAGTATGAAGTGTCCTTCCCCATCTCTTTTTATTAATTTTGGTTGAAAGTCTATTTTGTCAGATATTAGAATGGCTACTCCTGCTTGCTTCTTGGGTCCATTTGCTTGGAAAGTCGTCTTCCAACCCTTTACCCTCAGGTAATGTCTATCTTTGTGTCTTAGGTGTGTTTCTTGTATGCAACATATTGCTGGGTTTCGTTTACGTATCCATTTTGTTAATCTGTGTCTTTTTACTGGAGAGTTGAGTCCATTGATGTTGAGAGAGATTAATGACCAGTGGCTGTTTGATCCTTTGAATTTGATGTTGGCTGTGGTCATACGGTTGTGTGCTTGGTTGCTTTTTGTTTTACTGTAGTAGGTTTAATTATTTCCTGTGTTTTCTTGAAAGAAGCTAATTTTCTTGGGTTGTATTTTCCCTTCCAGTGTCTTCTGTAATGCTGGATTTGTGTGTATGTATTGCTGGAATTTGTTTTTGTCATTGAATATCTTGTTTTCTCTGTCTATGAGGACTGAGAGTTTTGCAGGGTATAGTAGCCTGGGCTGACATCTGTGTTCTCTTAGGGTCTGTATGATATCCGTCCAGGCCCTTCTGGCTTTCATAGTCTCTGTTGAAAAGTCAGGTGTTATTCTAATGGGTTTGCCATTATATGTTACTTGGCCTTTTTCCCTTGTAGCTTTTAGTATTTTTTCTTTGTTCTGTATACTTACTGTTTTGATTATTATGTGGCTGGAGGATTTTCTTTTCTGGCCAAATTTGTTGGGTGTTCTGTAGGCCTCATGTATTCTTATTGGCCTCTCCTTTAACTTGAGGAAATTTTCTTCAATGATTTTGTGAAAATATTTTCTGGGCCTTGGAGAAGGGAGTCTTCTTTTTCCTCTATACCTATTATTCTTAGATTTTGTCTTTTCATATTGTCTTGGATTTCTTGGACGGTCTGTGTCAAGAATTTTTTGGATTTAACATTTTCTTTGACAGATACATCGCTTTCTTCCATTGTATCTTCCACACCTGAGATTCTTTCTTCCATCTCTTGTAGTCTATTGGTTATGCTAACCTCTGTAGTTCCTGTTTTCTTCCCTAAGTTCTTTCTCTCTGCAATTTCCTCCATTTGTGTGTTCTTTAATTTTTCCAATTCTATCTTCAGATCTTGAGCCATTTTGTTGATTTCCTTCACCTGTCTTACTGTATTTTCCTGTTTTTCCATCACTTCTTTCAGCTGTTTGTTTAAACCAACCTCTGTTTCTTTTATTTCATTCAGTGCTTTAAGCATTTCCTTTCTAAAGGCCACAAACTGTTTGGCTGCAACTTCCTCTATTTCTTTACGGATGGCAATATTCTGTTTGAGTTTATCTTCCTCTATGTCTTTATGTATCTTATTTGTTTCCTCTGTTATCATCTTCATGAGCATAGTTATTAGGTCATCTTCTTGGATTTCAGTTATGCTGGGGTGTCCAGGGCTACTTGCCCCTGGGTAACTAGGTTCTGGAGCCCTCAACCCACACATACATTTTCAAATTAAAAGTGTCAGGCAAGGGGCTGGGAAAAGGGCTCGATTGGTAGTGTTTGCTGTGCAAGCATGAGGGCACAAGTTTGGAGATTTTCGAGACCAGGTTTCTCTGTGTAGCCCTGGCTGTCCAAGAACTCACCCTGTAGACCAAGCTGGCCTCAAACTCAGATATCTTCCTGCCGCTGCCTCCCAAATGCTGGAATTAAAAGTGTGTGCCACCAGCATCTAGCAAAGAATCTATTTTCAATAAAAAGATAAATTTTTAATTAAGAAAAAATCTTGACTATAGCAGTGTACACTTGTAACCCCAACATTGGGGAGATGGAGACAGGGAGACCACTGGGACTTGCTGGCCAGCCTCTCCAGCCAAATCTGTGAGCCCTGGGTTCAGGAGAGACCCTGACTCAGACAATAACATGGAGAGTGATTGAGCATGACACAGAACTTCCAGCTGTGGCTCCACGTGAAAGTGCACACAGGTGCACACACACGGACCTGAACACATATGAGCACACATGTACATGAGCACAGGCACAATCAAGTACAGAGTGGGGCATGGCAGTGTGTGCCTGAGGTCACATCAGCTTTGGATCATATGTTGGAGAGTTGTAGTAAATTCAAGGACAGCGTAGGCAACAGAGTAAGTTCCAAGCTAGCCAGGGCTGGCTAGACCCAGCCAATAAATGAAGGGATAGATAGACAGACAGACAGATAGATGATAGGTAGGTTAAGAGATGGATAGATAGATGGATGGATGGATGGATGGATGATGGATGGATGGGTAGATAGATAGATAAATAGATAGAGCCCTCAAGCTTCCAAAAAAGCAAGTATAATATTGGCATTTGTTCTGACCCTATGATTCTCTGGAACTTATGTCCAAGAGAGATCCAGAACAATTAGTGGATGACACAGGTCATGCCTGGCACCCCTCCTCTCTGTGATACCTGCTGTGTTCTGGGAATGCCACCATGCAGACGTAGCATAGGGCAAGCCCAGATCCCAAGCCCCAGAGCTGTAAGGCTGAACTACCTTGCACAGCTTGGGATGTCCAGGTGGAGACTTTGTTCTGTCACCAGTAAATCCCAGCAAAAACTTGTTTTTTCAATAATGGGTTCTTCTTGAAACCTCGGTGACAGAACTACACTTCCATTTTGCTGCCTTGTCCATGTGGTATTTACCATTTCCATAGGCATTTAGTTGATTTTCTCACCCCATTCACTCTTAAGCACTTCCCCCACACCTCTGTTATCCTCCCATGCTGTCAATCAACGAGGCGGTCCACATTGCCTAAGAAGACATGAGGGCATGTCTCCTCCATACTCCACACAGGAAACCCACATACTGGATCGCTCCTCACCATCAGGCATTTCTTCTTTATAGGCCTTGCTGGGCTTACATGAACAGCCTCTAGCCACATAGACAAATCATTGACCACATCACAGCTCGTAAGTGATACAACATCCTGGCCAGGGGTGTGGCTCAGCTGTTAAAGGGCTCGCCACACAAGTGTGAGGACACGAGTTCAACCTCAAGCACCTACTTAAAAGGCTGGGTACAATGGTGCATATCTGTAATCCCTGCTCTGGGGGACAGAGGCAGGAGGATCCCTAGAGTTCACTAGCCAGCTAGCTTAGCTGAATTGGGAAGGTGCAGCCAGGTTCAGTGAGAGACCCCACCGCAAAATATAAAATGTAGAGCAATTGAAGACATTTTTTTAGTTTCCTTTCCATTGCTGTGATAAAATACCTTGACAAAAGGCAACTTGAGGTAGAAGGATTTCTTTTAGCTCAGAGTTCCAGGCTATGGTCCCTTACTGTGGAGGAGCTGAGGTGGCAGGAATTTAAAGCAGCTGGTTGCATCACAACCACAGTCAGCAGAGATAAATGGATGTTATGCTTAGTGCTCAGCTACCCTCTTCTACTCTTACACAGTCCAGGTCCAAAACCCAGGGAATGCTGTCGCCCACAGCGGGCTTGGTCTGCCCACATCAATCAAGACAATCAAGGCAGTCCCCTAAACACCCGTCCATAGGCTAATTTGGTCTAGACAATCCCTCACTTAGACTTTCCTTTCGGGGATACTAAGCTATATCAAGTTAATAGTTAAAACTATCATAATACTCGACCCAATTTCTAGTCTATGCATGCACACACATGTACACACATGCACACCAAAAGACAAGACAAAACATAATGTAATGAAAGTTCATGTGCACATGGCCCCTCTGAAGCTTCCTGTGTTACGATGGGGGTATCACAGAGATCACAGCAAATTATGTTCAACTCACACCACGAGGGGTGGATTGTTTGTCCTTTGGGGACCTCAGGGAGAGCAGTTCGTTCTCATTCCGGAGCAGTAGGCACCATCTCTCTCCAGCTTCAGCAGCAGATGACCCGGCAGTCTGGTTTCACTTTTCCCTGTTCTTTTTCCTCCCCTGCCTCCAGTGAGCTGCCTCACCCGCCTCAAAACCTCCTGGCCAGCTTGAGTCCTGTGCGCAGCCACGCGGTGACACTGTCCTGGGTCCGGCCCTTTGATGGAAACAGCCCGGTCCTTCACTACATTGTGCAACTGTCTGAAAACAGTAAGTAGCAAAGCAAACTGTTGGCCCCAAACCGGCTGTGTGTGTGCGTGTGTGTGTGTGTGTGTGTGTGTGTGTGTGTGTGTGCGTGTGCGTGTGCGTGTGTGTGTAGGCTTGGAGGCCAGAGGAGGACACTGGGTGCTCTGCTCTGGCACTCTCGGCCTCACTCCCTTGAGACAGGCTCTCTTACTGAACTTGGAGCTAGGCTGCTGACCATCAAGCCCCAGTGATCCTCCTGCCATTGCCTGCCACAGCACTGGGGTTACGGACCATCTGAACTCAGCTCCTCATGCTTGCACAGCAAATGTTCTTATGAACAGAGCCATCTCCCCAGCTCCAGACTTCAGACTTCACGTGCTTTTAATGCCGCGTCCTTCCCACTGACCCCCAGCAACAGTTACTCGCCTGTGCTTTACAGGTAGCAATGCAGAAGCAGGCGGGTATGTTAGGAGAGGAAAAGTGATGTGGCTGGAGAGAGAAGGCATCCTTAACGGGCTCTGGAGAGGGCCTGGACTTGAGACCTGTCCAACAGGAGAGAGGACTGCCTCAGAGGTCCAAGCGGACAGTATCCTCCCCGGGGCATATGGTACCTCCTGGAGCTGGCCTCACAGTGGGCAGTAGCAGTCTTTTGCATCTTGGGAGGGTTTTGTAACTGGAGTTCGGGGCTGCCTGCTACCTGTCTGCAGAAGCCGGTAGGCAGAGACAGGAACTGAACCTTTAGAACTGCGCTTTGTTCAGGGAGCCAGCCACCTGAGAGGACAGCAGGTTAGCGCCCCCTCATCTCCAGTGATGGGCTCTGTGGGGGAGGGGCAGGACAGTCATCTCAGAGCTCTCTCCCCCTCAGAGGCCCTCAGGTTTCAGAGACTTGCGGTGTCTGGGTGTCTGTGCTCCTCCTTCCAGCCCTGGCCTGCTCCTTCACTCTGCATGTCAGGCACACGCGTGGAGCCTGAGGCCTAGTCCGTGCCTGCGCCTGTCAACCTTGTACTCCTCTAGGACTGCTGGGCTGGAAGGGGTTAACTCAGAACATGCCAACCATTAACAGTGTGTGTGTGCTAGGCCGGGGGTAACCCGAGAGTGCCGACTCCTTCCTGTGGCACGGAGCGTGGGGTGTCTTTACAATGCAGAATACGAAGGTCTCCAGCATCTTTCCCTCTGCTGTAGAGGTGGTGCCAATAGGGAGCAGCCCTGTGCCTTCCTCCTGCGCGCAAGCCACTTCCTTAAGCAACCCTGGTTTCCTGCCAGCCAGCCTGTCCTTCCTCCCTCCTCCACTCCTCCTTGCCCTCGCCTGCTTGCTCCTCCCACAGCCCTGCACCATGCTGGCAGGGATGGTACCGTCAGCAGTGACAGGGACAGAGGGACAGCTACATACTGTCACCCCCAGCAGCCTGAGGAGTTGCCTTTAATCTTTTAGGGACCTCAACTCAAATAAAGCCGGATCGCTGACTTCATCGCAGAAAAGATTCAGGGCGAGCCAGTGAGAAGCAGAGTCTGCATTTATTAAAAGACATTTTTAATATAAATTTTAAGCAGGAGGATTAGCAGGAAGTGGGGTGCTTGGGAAGAAAGATGGGTGTGGGCTTCTCAAAGAATTGTCTCTCCTGCCTTTATAATACTTAGGCAAGGCCATCTTGCTGTGTTTGATGCTGTTACCCTCAAAGTGTCAGCAGGGAACCTAAATCAGCTCATGGGGGGCAGGGGGACCTGAGGGCACCCGGCAGGACTGCAGTTGATAAAGTGGCCCTGTGTCCGGGAGGGCGCAGGACAACGGGGATCCACTCTGTAAAAAGTCAACAGTCTTGTCTAAGATTCCCAGAGAGGAACGAGGCCCCACCCGCAGGCACGCACATTCAGGCCCCAAGCTTGCTTCGTGGGGGTGTTAACCTTCTTCTTTGAGATGCCTTCGTAGGAAAAAGCATCGTCTCTGTGTTGACCACCTTCACAGCAGAAGCTGTTGCCTGAGTTCTTGACACTCAACCGGCCATGGCTTCAACCGGACTTCAGAGAGAGCAGATCCGTTCCTTCCCTTGCTCTCCTCCTTTTCTTTCCTTCTGTTCTTCCTCGGAGTGCAGTCCAGAGGCTTCACCTCCCTCCCTGATTATGGCACACACATACTTGCTTTTACTGGCATCTCGCCATCATTTTAGCCCTAACTTTGTTCCTCTTCCCCCACCCACCATCTCCATTTCCCTCACCTGTAGCCCAGTTTCTGGGTCACTCAGGCCACAGTCCTCACACCCTCCACAACACCCACCTGAGCAGCAGCAGTCCTGGCCTTCAGACCCCGAGGTTTCTCTGACGCTCTCGTCCCTTCTCTCAGGAGCCCATGAAGGACACCTCACTGCCTTCCGAGGCCCTGCTTCCATTTTTGCTTTCTTAGCCATTCTCTCCACAAATACCAGTGCTGGTTCCCTCCAAATAGCAGTGGGGCTGGTCTCTGTGACCCCACAGGGCTCCCACAGCATCCAGGATGAAGCCCAAACTCTCCAGGCCCGTGTAATCTCTGCTTGTACAGGCCACCTCACCCTGCCGGGCATGTGTCAACTGCACAGGCCTTGTGTTGCCCCTCAGCCCCTGTCGGATGGGCCATGGACCGGCTCCATGTTTTATCCTTCACTGGGAACACTTACGGGGGTACAGCATTGTTCCTCCCCCACTGTCCCCTCCAAGGGGCTCATCAGTATCAGCTCAATGTAACTTTGGAAGTGTAAGCTAGAGTAGAGTCTTCCTTAACATTTTTTTTTTAATCAGAAATGGGTTCTAGGTAAGAACTCCCACTGACCACGCTCCCAGCCAACGTTCTACTGATGACCACATTCCAGGCCCTCAACGGGGCCTTATGTGGAGGCCGCTCCACCATAGGAGTCTAAGCCTATGCTCTGCCACAGAGCAATGGTTTACGCCCACTCTCTGATCATAAGTCCATGCCTCAGCCACAACAGCAGGCTTGGACACAGCTCAGGGGGAGGTGCTGGAGTCAGGCCTTTCTCCATCCTTGACCTCCGACCTAGCTTCCTTCCATAGAGAAGGCAATACTGGGACCAGGCTGCATGATAACAGTGTTTTCGTTTAACCCCCAGTCAGAGAGGGAAGAGGTGGCGTTATTTATTAAAACAGCCTTTCAGAAGACAAGGTTTTCCTGACGATGTCATGGCTGCATGGCCTTTGACGATAATGTGTGTGGAGAGAATGTGACAGGAGCAGAGCTCTTGCCATCAGAAGCTGACAGATATCCGCCATAAAGACAGCTCCCGCAGGCATCCATCTCCTGGAGACAAAGGGCCGTGTTCTGCTCTCCTTTGTGTTCCTGTCCCTAGAGTTTAGTAACTATTCTGCAAAAAAACCCGAGATGGCACGGATCTGTGGCAGAGCCACCAGGATGGACTACGGCGTGACACTGTCCTTGGGGAGAGATGCGAACAAAAGCACACTCACCCAAACAGGGAACCAGCAACAGACCACGGTAACGATACCTCCAGGTACAGCTTGTTGAGCCAGTGGGCGGTTCGGGGTCACCCTCAGGAATGTGGCTGAGGGGTTACTCACAGGAGCAGGGACCACAAAGCAGCAGGTGCATCATCAAAACTCACCCTAGCAGGAGTGACAGGCGATGACTCAAGAAAGCTGGAACCCTGGCGTCCTCTGCGCGACTTCCAGGCACTTCGGTGGACCAGAGTCTCCTCTCCTAAGCCATCTTCAGCGCCTGCGTCACGTTAGCGAAGTGGGGGCCGTGTGCGTCTGTAAGTTTCAGGAACTTCCTGAGACTTTCCAGTTGTTTACTTCCTCAGTCCTAAGGAGCCTCCCTCTAGCATGAAATGTTTCAGTTTGGAGGAGAGTCCTATACATGACATTCTGGGCAGTCTTCCATCAGGGAAGTGTTCAACCTTCCCTTGACACCACAACGGGCACTGATTCAAAATGCCCAGCCGACAGCAAGACTTATTCTTCCAGTCAGGCATACTGCCTAAATCAGAAGCAAGCATTTTACGTGGCCATCCATCCGTCCACGTTGATTGACATCTGCTCTTTACCAGGCAGCCTGGTGTGTGACCAGCCTCCACTTCAGACAATAAGGAAGTGGTCAGACACATCAGTGCTCAAGGCGCAATCAGGAAAGAACCTGACGTACAATCCTGAAGAGCTCCAGCTTACAATAGTGATCTGAGAGTGATGGCACACTTTGGTAATCCCGGTGCCGGAGAGGTAGGGACCAGTATTCCCAGGTGCTCATTGGTCAGATAGGGGAGCTAAATCAGGAAGTCAAGGTCCCACTGAGAAGCCTTGTCTGGAAAATCAAATATGAGCAACTGAGAAGTGGTGCCGGATATTGACCTCTGGCCTCCACATACACTGTGTGTGTGTGTGTGTGTGTGTGTGTGTGTGTGTGCATAGAGACACAATGGTCCGTATGTCACTACCTTCTGGTTCTTGTGTGTTGTGGTTCTGGGGCTAACCCAGTATCCTGCACATGCTGGAAAGGCTCTCTGTCAAGAGCCACCCTGCCAGCCCCTATCTGTCCTTCCCCTTGACCAGTGGTCACCCAGAGCACACAGTAGATAGTTTTGCAGATGTTTTAAGATGCTTCCATTTGCTAAGAAGGTGTCAGAGAATGGCACTGACTGGTCCCTCATCACCCCATTGACCCTCTCATCTGGACCAGCTCGAGTCTGCCCTCAGCCTGCCAAGTGTTGAGAGGGTAGGACAGTTGCTGCATGCCTGTCCCTGACTTCAGCTGTGCAAGATGGATCTATGGCCTCCATAGAAGCGGCATGTGTTGCTGCCAGTTGGTTGGTCATATGCCTTCCTATCGCAGCGAATCAATGGCTCGCCTCCATCATCTGGACCTGTGATGAGCTTTTTATTTTTATTAGGAATGAGCGTCGTTAAGAAGCAGCTGAACATGCAGGCTAATTACAGCCAGAGAGAACTGCTTAGCAGCAGGCACACTGAAACGGAGATGGTATTTGGCCCGCGCTCAGCACTGAGAAGTGGACAGTGCTAAATAA